CTATCTGCTTTAGTTTCTCTGCGTTGACGGCAACAAATGCTATCTAGTTTTTTAGGTGTCTTACCTATCCTCACCCCTCCCTTGTGTGCTGAAAATTAGTTCTTTAGAGGAATAGCTCAGCTTCACTGAGGAATCCCATTCTAAGAATCTATATGGTACCTACCCCTCTTTGGTGGTTTTATTTTTAAAAAGAAGATACTTTCTAATTCTTGTGCTATTCCAAATCTAAGAGAGCAGATAAAGTGTTGCTCTAGGAAAGACCAGCCCTTCTCAGTAAGTGGAATGAGTCCCCCCAAGGAAATAGGCCTTAAGAGTGACTATTTTCGTGAGAGTTTAATCTAGTTTACGTTGCAGGAGAACAATGAGCACTTTGAGGACTGACAGAAAGAAGCACTGTGGTTCACTCAACAAATAAACTAGAAGGGCCTCTTTAATGCAAGTCATTAAGTCCAGATGCAAGATAGCTGCCTTCCGCACTGGCCACAGGACATAGCAGCCAGCCTGTCTGAGGATGTGAGGTGTCAGCAGCCTGTAGTGGAAGAGCCCAGAGTGTTCCTGAGCCTGGGGTCCAATCCTGTGTTTGCCATTAATTGGAAAGGTATCCTTGATCCAGTCATCTGACAGCTGTGGTCATCAATTTCTCTATCTCAAATGGTATTCCGCTTCTTTAAGGATTCCTGTAGCTTTAAATCCCTATGAATCTGGTGAAGTAATTTTGTCTTGATTTATGTGGAACTTTGATCTGCCTTCAATGTGGCAACTGTTCAGGTTCCAGAGCTTTGTTGGGTTCAGCGCCCTTTGAATACAAATCGAAAGGTACAATGAAGACATTTTTTTAAAATATTTCCTCCAGCCAGGCACCAGTGGCTCATACTTATAATCCTAGCTATTTGGGAGGCTGAGATCAGGAGGATTGTGGTTCCAGGCTAGTGAGACCCCATCTCAGTGGAAAAAATCTGGGCATGTTGGCACATTCCTGTCAGTTTGGACAAAAAGCAAAACCCTGTCTCCAAAATAACCAGAACAAAAAGAGCCAGAGGTGTGGCTCAAGCAGTAGAGTGCCTGCCTAGGAAGCACAAATACCTGAGTTCAAATCCAGTACCAACAAAATATATGTTGTACAAGCACACACACACACACACACACACACACACACACACACACACATATTCCTTCCAGTTTTCTTCACTTTAAGTGATGTAAAGAATGTCCATGTTAGCATTGTGAAAGGGACATTTCTCCTAAACTTATGCAGAGAAACTTTTCAAGGTAATTAGAAGGTAATGAGAGACACAGAATCCTACAGGTATGAGTGGAGTAGGCAGAGAAGGTACAGGAAAAGGATGATATAAGTTCCTAGTAAAACAGTAGGGTACATAGGGTGGGTGTAGGCCGGGGAATTGTGAAGTTAGAGTTCTAATCTCAGCTTTTCCACGGAGTCTCTTGAGACCATAAGAATGCCTGATCCATTTTATAATCATTCTGTGCCTCAGTTTCCATGTCTGCCAGTTAGCTTGAGAGTCTGGGTGACCTTGAGTAATTTCTTAACCTCCCTCAATTCCCTCATCTGCAAAAGGTGAATAATGGTAGTCATATCAGAAGATTGTAATGAGCGCGATCACAAATGCAAGTTAGTTCTTTTGAGCAGTAGTGGGGGTTGGATTCACAGCTGCTATGTGCATTGTGACCACTAATTTCTCTTATTGTAATTGTAATAGTAGGACATATCTATCCTACTCTTTCTTGAGCATGTACTATATTACAGGGCTCTGTATCCATACTGAGTACTTTGAATACCTTGTCTTTTTCATGAAAACAGAATATATCACAGTGGTAGAAGCAGAGGTAGAGAGAAACAAGGCTTTACCTCTGGCTCCATTGTGTTTCCTTAGGCTGCCGTGTTTTTTCTATTTTCGGCTGTATCTAATTGGCTGTATTTTCTATTCTTTTAAGCCACCTAAAAATTAAAACAACAACTAACTGAATATATTTATATAACATGTTATTTTGGTCGTGTTTATGTCTACCCCTGGAGACTTGCTCTAAATTCACTTGGATTTTGAAAGATAAGCCGTGCTCACTAGCAGTTTCTGGAAGGCACTGAAAAAGAAGTCACTCGGAAAGCAACTTAAAACAACATGTAAGAATTTCCAATATATTCATTGAAAAAAAGTATTAAAATCTTATACTCATGTGTCCATAGATATCTTTGCTAACTGGACATACTTATATAACATGGACCACTCATCTATAGAGGATTATACTGTCCTTAGAGGCCATGCTATGGGAATTAATTATCATCAAACTCCTTTTAATAATATTCCTTTCAATTATTATGAAATTCTATATTCAGAGAAAAATTTAAAAATTATAAATTGGTGCAGTATTAAAGAAAGAGGTGGTTTCTTTCTGGCCAAATTCAGGCCTCGAACCCACCTCTCATTTGTCTGGACAATTCATTAACATTTTTAACATTGCATTTTTTCATAAAATGGGAATAACATATTACAGAATTGCTGTAAGTTAAGTGAGAACTGCTACCCAGTCAACAAGTGTTAGGTACTTCCCCTTCCCTTGGAAAACAATCTCAAACCAAACATACTGAGAGTTTGCTCTGTAAGAAGGGAGAGATCTCCCTCCTCTCCTCAGTAAACTGCTTTTTATCCTTCTTTGGTAATAGATTTTATTTTGCAATAAAAGTGATGGGTCTTCTTTCCTTTGTACACTTTAAAACAGTAAAAGTACTTTGTACTTCTTTCCTTTTGTACACTTTAAAACATCTCAGGACATCTGTGGACCACCATTGCTCATTCTTTTATCTCAGATTAGGAGCACCTGCTCTAGTATGTTCATTTGACTTTGACAAATTCTTCTACAAAATAATGTCAGCTTTAAAAAGAAATAGAGGGATATCTTGCTGCTGAATGAATGGAAACCTCAAGCCTTTATTGTTCATATCTTAGGGAAGAATGCAGCATCTGACCACAGCCTTCTCAAAGACAATTAAATAAGTTGTACAGAAACTTCATTAAAGTATTGATCTAATTTACCAGTTGATTCCTTCAATCTTAAAAAAAAAACCCACAAATGTTTACCTTTGAGTCTGGCTCTAAACAAAGAAAAATTAAAATGTTAATAAATCTATTTAATGTCATTTACAGAATTATGACCATACCATCTTTATATATTACACTACTAGGTCATTGAGCAATAGAACAAGAAACAGAATGTTCTAGAAAATAAACTTTAAAAATTGGTAAGCATCATGTACTTTTTCCAAAAGACATTTTACTGTTCTGAATCAAAGGTGGCTCTTTGGCACTGAGTAGCTGCATGGAGTCATCCAAGTCTTGTTTCCCTAATCCTCAACTTGGCTGGATTATTGCTGGCAATCATCTGCATTTTTGGATTTCAAACTATGTGAGATCCCTTCATATAGCTACCACCACCTAGCAGTTTAGCTAGTTCTGTCCTTCTGTTGATACTTTGTTTTTAATCTTGTGCCTCAGTTTAGTTTATGTAAATCCTAAAAATTTAACTGTATAGGTAAACAGGTACCTAGAGGAGGATGGTATTGAGAAAGCATCATGTTTGCTTTCTTGCTGGCTTGACTTTAGCAAATCAGTGTTGTCTCTCTTCTTTTGTAAAATGATGATAACCTACCATCTCAAATAGGTTTGAAACCCCAGATTCCATGGAGACCAGGCATTTGGTAACTATGAAGTTTCACTTGCTTCCTAATGGCATCCAAAGGGATTTCATTATTGCGTGATCTGTCATTATCCAAATTTTATTCTCAATTTGTTTAATTCAAAAGTGAAGCTCTCCCTAACTTTTTTTTTAATTAACTGTCTTCTCTTTCTAATTTTCTCCTGGCTCTTAATTTCACCACTATTTCCTCAGAGCAAATCAAAAGTTCAAAACTCATCTTAACCTTCTTTTTCCTCTCTCCCTTTATCTTTCAAGTAACCAAGTCTTGTGGATTTTTCCTTAATATTCCTAGAATGATTGTGAATTCCTTCCTTCCTTCTTTTCTCCCTTCCTTCCTTCCATCTTCCTATCTCTTTCCCTCTCTCCCACCCTTCCTTCCTTCCTTTCTTTTTTTTTTTTAAAGACCTCTTTTCCAATCTTGGCCCTACCATCCCCAACTTGGGCTACAGCAACAGTCTTCCTGCCTGTATGTCCTTTCCTCCAGCTTACAATCGGTTGTCAAATTCATCTTGAGAAGCTACTGCACTGATTGTGGCTGCACTTTTAGACAGACCCCTCACTGTATGGAAAATAATATCCATTCTGGGCTCAACCTGTCTTTCAGCCTTGATCATAACAATCTCCTCTGCCTGTGACACTCACTGTCCTCACTCTTCCTTGTTCCTGGGGCTTTGCTCACATTTCTAAGGGCCCTTCTTCCCTCATTTCCAACTCATACCCCATTTCCCAAGCCCTGTTCAAGTCTTGCTACCCCATGAAGTCATCTCAATGCCTCACAGCTCACAATGTTGTAATTTCCTGAAGTAATTTTGCTAATTTTGTTTGAAAAGTCATTAATCAAGCCTGAACTTATTACTCGTTAGTGTGTGTGTGTGTGTGTGTGTATGTGTAGCTGTCTTGTAAGGCAGATAACTTATGGCATGTTCCTTACATTTTACAGTGCCTTATAGCCCTATCCATGTTACTAGGGTTTGCTTTTAAGAAAAAAAATTTAATGGCATCCATTTGGTGTCCCTAGAGTAGTAGTTCTCAACCTTTGGCATGGTAAAGAAACACCTGGAGAACATGTTAAAATTCTTTTGGGTTCCACCCTAGAGGTACAATAAGGTCAGAGCACAGCCCAAGAATCTGTGCTTCCAGTTTGGAGTTCCAAGGGACACAGCTGTTGCTGGTTGCCTTCAAGCATCTGATGCAGGACTGGCACATAAATCTAATATGTGTGTATGAATCCTGAGCATTTCCCCCCCCTCTTTTGTTCACACTCACTTTCTGCCACTTCTTTCTTTTAGATTGACTTTGAAGATGTGATTGCAGAACCAGAAGGGACACACAGTTTCGATGGCATCTGGAAGGCCAGCTTCACCACCTTCACTGTGACGAAATACTGGTTTTACCGCTTGCTGTCTACCCTCCTTGGCATTCCGATGGCTCTCATCTGGGGCATTTATTTTGCCATTCTCTCTTTCCTGCACATCTGGGCAGTTGTGCCATGCATTAAGAGCTTCCTGATTGAGATTCAGTGCATCAGCCGTGTCTATTCCATCTACATCCACACCTTCTGTGACCCGTTGTTTGAAGCTGTTGGCAAAATGTGCAGCAATATCCGCATCAGCCTGCAGAAAGAAATGTAAATGACATTTCAAGGATGAAAGTATTCCTGGGGTTTTTCCTTTAATTTTTCTTGGTGCCAATTTCAAGTTTCAAGGTTTTACTACAGCAACAAATTATGAATGATTTATCTTGGTTCAGAACAAAGAAATCACTTTCTCAGTGTTTATAACTATCATTTGTCTCTTCTGAGCACATCTATTTTTGATGGTCTGAAACTTTTAAACCCATTCCAATTTTATTGGCTGAAAGCTGAACAGATTGTTGAAAGATATTTTGAGAGAAACATGAAGAACTAAGGAGGGAATAAAAGAGAACCAACAACTTCAACTGCCTACTCTAAAATGTTGATTATATGATAGAAAGGCAAGAATTCCCAGCTATGGCTATGAGTGTACAGATATGTTGGGAAGATTTTATGCAAACACTTTCCCTCTATCTAAGGAATTAGTGAGTTACTGCCATTCATCTTAATAATCCAATGTGATCTGGTAAAGCTTCTCAAGTTAGGAATCATTATCCTCTGCATTCACAGGTCCTCACTTCTGCTTTCCTCTCCTTGATATTTTAACAAATACTTTCTATGCCTGAATATTTGCATAGATAACCGAGACCTAAGTGCCTTCCTATTTTTCACCTTTTCCTTTTCAAATAGGGTCTAACTCATCAACTATCATTAGGTCAGCAGCCTCTCTGAAGATTGAAATTAGAAGATCCATTACCTAGCTCTCTATACTTGTTTCTGACTCTGAGATGCAGAATTTGGTGTAGCCCATGTTTGTGCTTGATCATGTAGCATTTTTATCCATGTCAAGTGTGGTCAACGTTAACCCGATGAAATGAATTAAAGCGGACTAATGGGGCTGAGCCCTCTCTGACTGGCAGGGGTGGAAGCCAACGTTCCCTGCCTCTCAGCAGCTGGATGAGGTCAGCATTTCTATTCAGCTTCATTTATTTTCAAGAATAATCACGCTTTCCTGAATCCAAATTAATCCATCACCAGAGTGGTTTGGTAGCTCAATATTGTGTTCCCTTTTCAGCTGATCAGTGGGCCTCTAGGGAAGGGCTGTCAAAGTGGAGGCCATTGTGTGAGACTGTCAGAGTTGTTGCAAGCATGACCCCTTCTAAGCAATGCACTTACAAGTCGCTGTTATGCTGTGACACTCACCCCTCCCCCTCCAGGAGCCTTGGACCTGATCCAACCATCATTTTGTTCACAGAGAAGATGAGGGAGGAGGCAGTAATAAAAGATGGAGGTAATTTTGCTGGAGTAAGTTCAAATTATTGAGAACTCAAACTGAGGAATTTCACCTGTAGACCTGAGTCATACAGAAAGCTGCCTGGTACATCCAAAAGCTTTTAATGCCTCCTGCTCATATTACTGTGATTCTGCCCTTGGGAACATTTTTTTAACCTCCAGTTATGCTTTTGTTCTTATTTTCATACACTTATTGGAACTTTTCTCAATTTTTTTTTTTTTTGCCTCTTCCAGTTTTGCTGACACTTTACTACCAACCTGCTACAACTTTGTTTGCATTTAAAACAGACACTGGCATGGACATAGTTTTACTTTTAAACTGTGTACATAACTGAAAATGTACTATACAGCATACTTTTTAAGTGTAAAGATATTTTTTATCTTTATGTGAGGAAAATCACTTGGGAAATGGCTTTGTGATTCAGTCTGTAAACTGTGTATCTCAAGACATGTCTGTTTACTTTGATGCTTAGTCCTTCATGCAAATCAATTGCTGGGCCAAAAGATTGCTGAAATTTTATATGCTTACTGATATATTTTACACTTTTTTATTCTGCATGTTCTGTAAAGATTATAAATCTTCACAATAAAAATGTTTAACAATTAAACACTCTACTTAATTCCCCACCCCCCAAAACAGGCATTGGTGAATGATTGTGCACGTCTGTGTGTCTGTATGTTGTGAGATGTGCATGGTGGGTGTGTACATATTTGCACAGTGTAGTGTTTGAGCTGGTCTTGGTAATGGTCTCCTATCCCTCAGTTGTTATAAATTCATCTGAATGAGATCTAGAAACTAAGGTCATTGCCATTCATGGATTACTTTAGATAAAATTACAACTAATAAGGAGTTTTAGCAGTTTATCCAATGTTTTGTTACCCATTATCTAATTTGCACTCCCCAACAGCCTTGTGTGATGGATATTAATATTGTCACTTGATTAATGACACAATTCACATTCAGGGGTAATGCCTTGAATTCTACTATCCTTAATGAGATTTATTAACAGTCAATTTTATAGATAGATAGATAAATAAACAGATATTGTCCTTGACTAAGTTTACATTCAGGATTTCTGTATTAGTCAAAATTCTCCAGAAAAACAAAACTGACAGGACAGAGATAGAAATAATAAAGATAGAGGAAGGGAGAGGGAGAGAAAGAGGGAATAATGGGGAAGAGAGAGAGAGAAATTGAGATAAAAATAGAGAGCAAGAGATTTATTGTAAAGATTTGCTTTATGGTTATGGAAGATCATTTGTGTGAGCCAGCAAGCTGAAGATCCAGGGAGCTGGTGGTACAATTCCAGGCCAAAGGCCAGCAAATTGAAGACCCAGGAAAAGCCAAAATTTCTCTTTGAATCCAACAACAGAAAAAATACTGATGTCCCAATTTCAAGGCAATGAAGCAGAAGGAAATCTCCCTCTTTGACTTGGGGGATAGTCAGGATTTGGTTTTATTAGATCTTCAACTTACTTGATGAGGTTTCCCCCGCATTAGTGAGGTGAGGTCAGTTTGCTTTAGTCAGTCTAGTAATCTACATGCTAATTTCACTCAAAAACACCCAAAAAAATACTCAGAACAATATCTGTGTACCTGTGGCCCAGTCTAGTTGACACATTAAAGTAACCATGACAGCTTCTAATTTAAATTTTGCAAGAGATCTTATTATTTTTCACCCTAAAATTCATTTCATGCAGTTTGTAGAGCTCCTCTATTTGCTGGGCTTCCAAGAGAGCACTGAAGCTGCTTAGTTGGCACCTCAGTCTGGGGTTTGCATTTCTGGGACAAATCCACTTCCAGCATGTACAAAGAGACACACCCAGATCACAGATAGGTCCTCTAGTTTAAGCAGAATGGATGAAGCGACTTTTAACAAGCACTATCTTTTGGTCCATTTTATTATTTGACTCTCTAAAAAACAAAATTAAGATTTTCCTTATTTATAGTTTGGTTCAGCCCCACATATGAAACAGTTCCATCTCTGGATACACAAATGACTACATGGCTTTGGAGGACTTTGACTCTATATTGGCAATAAAGAGCTTCATACGTCACACATTCAGAAAATGTTAGTTACATCATAACACATCTGCTCAGTGAGATGGAGCTCTCTCTAAACACCTGACTCATGCCTTCTCTGATATGGATGTCAATGTTCAAATGTTCTGGTTTCTACATTGTCTGTATTTATAAAATTGAAGTTGGGGAGGAGACATGAATGAACACCCATAACACAAAGGGGTGAAACCATAAAAGATTTGTTTTATGAACCCATAAAAATGTTAAACTTCTACATATCAAAAACAGTAGAAACAAGTACAAAACATGATAAAGTACCAAAAGAATGCATTTTCTAGAGCTGGGCATGGTAGAAAATATCTGTAATCCCAACTAGGCAGGAGTCAGAGGTAGAAGGATCACAGTCCAAGGCCAACCCAGGCTAAAAGCATGAAAATCTATCTGAAATTTAAAAACACTAAAACAAAAAGGGTTAGAAGTGTGGTGTAAGTTGTAGAGTACTTGCCTAGCAAGCACAAGGCCCTGAGTTCAAACACCAGTACCATCAGGGGCATATTAAAAAAAAGGAAAGCATTTGCTATATACAGCATTACACACACACACACACACACACACACACACACATATTGTTAATATACTTGAAATATAGGTTACTTTCATTAATTAAGAAAAAGATGAACTTACACTGTGTAGGCATTATTGCATATGAGCAAGATTTCAAAAACAGATATTAATGTCTCCATTTTACAAATAAGACTTAGAGAGTTTTAGTGAGTCCCAGTTCCCATAAGTGTTGGAGCTATTGTCTGGTCTATGAGACACAGTGCTCTGTGCCTCCCACTCCCCTGCCTGCCTGGTGTTAGAGCCCTAAGACTTCCTCCTCCCATGCTTGCAGAATCACTTCATCCACCCCCAAATACATAATAAGCAAGTAGTGTGAGCACTGTTAAACTTTAGTGATAGTTAAGTAGCAGTAGTTAAAGCTTGTCATAATCTCTGTGTCAACCATATATACTTCATATATATTAGTTTATGTAATCCTCCCAATAACCCTAGAGAGTTTACTTTATCAGTATTATCCCAACTTTATAGATCAGGAAATTGCAGCTCAGAGGATCAAGTTCTTTGCTCAGAGACACAAGGTCAAGCAAGTTACAAAGCCATGGTTATAAATCCATGAAGTCTGGCTCTAGAGTCTGGGAGCTGGACCATGACACTAAGCCATACAGTTATTAGTGGTAATACCAAAAACAGGAAGCAAAGCGTGTCTCTATTGAAAACAATTAATGGGCAACAACATGGGTGGCAATTAAAATGCAAATTAAAACATTTTATATTTAACATATAAAATTAAAAGTGCTCTCACAAATTTATCAAAATCATTGATTAAAGAGTTTTAATATTTTGGGGGTAGCACTAGGATTTGAACTCAGGACCTCATGCTTCCTGGGTAAACACTCTACCACTTGATCCACATTTCCAGCCCCTTTGACTTTGTCATCTGTTACACAGAGCCTAGTACTTTTTAACATAGGTTCCTGTACTTTTTACCTGGCCAGCTTCGACCACGTTCCTTCTACACAGTCCAGTGCAGTTTTCACCATCACACTGGCTGGCTTAGTCCTTGAGAAAGGATCTTGGGTCTTATTAACTTTTTGGGTATTGAGGCTAAGCTGCCCTCACACCATGATCCTCCTAGCTCCCCTTCCAAGTAGCTAGGATTACAGGTACAAACCACCATGCCCAGCTAAATATATTTTCTATAGAAAATTTCCATAATAGTGTATATTCTGTCACATAGTTTTGTGACTTTCAAGAACCTATAATGACTGACTAAGTTGATTTACAAACTCTAGGACAGGTATTTCAGTGATGGGGAGAAACACATTTTTTAAATAACTCATAATACTTATCTTTATTTAGAAATAAAACTTAAATCTCAATGGAATAAGAATAGGTACAGATAGAACGATTTTACCAGTAAGATTCAAAAGTACTACTTGTTTCCTCTAAGCATCTCCATACTTCACTGTCACATTTGCTCTCAAATCTGCAGGTTATCTGAACAATACGGAATTTCTCTAGGTGTAATTCATTGCCCAGTTTGCCAGAGCCAACAATACAAAGTCCTCTCCTTCCCACAAAGCACAATAATCTACCCACATTTGCTCTCATTTTCTTTTCTTTTCCCTTTGCTAAGATGGATGGTTCTCCACACCTATCAAAAGCCATTTTCTCCACATGTGCTGTGAGTCTCAGTCTTTATTTTCCTCCAACTCTTTATTCCCTTGGTTATCTCCTTTAACTCCTTTGCTGGTAGTCTGGATTGATCCCATTGCCCTATAGACATCACATCTGTACTGCTCTTTCCTCGCAGCCCTTGACTTTCTAACCTCCTCCAACTATCAACTATTTTCTCTACTTTCTTTTGCAGCTTAACTTCTCAAAAGAATCTGTTGACATTGTCCAAACACCATTAAATTTTCCTAGCTACCACTGTATTTTTAAGCCAAATAGTTTTTATTTTATTTTTTACTTTGGTGCCAGACATACACATAATCAATTATTAATCGGTATCATAGTTGGTTCATGTGTGACTTTCATTTGATGCTATTTATTTTGTTGTGTAGTTATCACTAATGCCTATGAGTTAATCACCAAATCAAAGAACTGGAACAGCTATTCTATTTAGTGCATACTTGTTTCTTACTGTTGAACTGATTCTTTTATGGCTGTGCAATGGGGTTTTCTATCTTTAATGAATCATTTTGTCTTAAGTTTATTTTGTTAGAAGTTTGCATAGCTACACCAGCTTACTCAGGGTTACACTTGCCTGCTGTGTTCTTTTCCAGTCTCTTACTCCTTGGGCTGTCACGCATAGCAGGAGTGGCACTTTATACTGTACCACTTTATACTGTATAACTCGGAGTAAGCTTTGGGCGGACTGCATGTGAATGCCATCTCCTGGTTGCAAATTTGTAAGGTTTCCATGTCCTACTGCTTTATGTAACTCTTTCATAAGCAGCACAGAGTTGGAGCTTATGTTTTATTCAAACTGATAGTCTATTTTTAACTAACAAATGAAGTCTATTTGTCTTTATTATAATTGTCGATATATTTTTCTATTCGCTCACATTTTTATTACAAGTGTTCTACTTTTTCATTTTCTTTTTAATACTTCTAGATTTAAAACAATTGTAGATAAATAGATAATAGACAGATGTTACTCTAGTTAAACAAAAATTTGAACACACATGAGTGACCTTTGGCCTTCCATCCACCAACAATGCCAATCTTATTGACAGTGTCCAGAGTTTTAATTTGGGGATATTTGGATACAGTTCTTTCTTCTCTTCCTTAATATTAGCTTCTTTTTTTCTTTCAGAAAGCAGCCAACTTTACCAAGTTTTCCTAGGTTAATTAATTGATATACTTTCTTTTCTCTGCTCTTTTTCTCTTCCTTTTCTCCTTCCTTCCTTTTTTTCTATCTTTCATTTTTAAGTACTCAACTCTAACTTACTTAGTATTTTTCCCAATAAGAAAGCTTGCATGTCTGAAGATATTTTTATTTC